AGAACCATGCACATATCGTTTTCAAACCAAAGGAGGGAGCATAACATACTGATCATAGACCATCTCAGTTAAATGAAAATGAGCCTCATCAGCTAATGCAGCAGCAGTGGAGTTGGCTTCCCTGTAAATATGAGCCAAAGTACAAGTTTGAGGAATTCTAACTTGCACCTCCCTTAAAACATATTCCGAAGTCCATGGAATTGTGCTATGACCTGAAAGAGCATCAATAATAACTTTCGAATCAGATTCGATAGAAGAGAGAACAATCCCACGAGCTTCACAGAGTTGGACCCCAATGAGAATGGCCTTCGCCTCACCAAAATTGTTGGTTCCCGGTCCTAAAAAATAAGAATAAGCAAGCACAAAATTGCCATCGCAATCTCTGATAATCCCTGCACCAGAGCTCAATCCATTTCTAGAAGAGCCATTCGTGTTCAGTTTGTAACCCACCCTTGGATTCCATCGCGTCCAACAATATCTCCTTGTTCTAACTTGTTTGAGAGGAATATGTAAAGCAGATAAACAAAGTGAATCATGAAATCTAAACTTGTTTTGAGGAACAAAGAGAAGATTTAGTTCTTTTCCCCAAGTAAAGATTTTCCTTCGAATCGCCCAAGTATCCATCGAAATACCTTCAAAAATAGATTTATTTCGAGAACACCATATCTCCCATAGAGTACACCAAAGGAAACACATGATAGTGAAGCCTTTTTGGTTAGTCGAGTTAGCTCTGGATAGCCAAGAGGAGAGCAATTGATTCTTGGTTTGGTGTTGGATATTTACATTAAAAAGCCTACCACACCAGCTCCATGTCAAAGCAGCCACCTCTTCTTGTACAAATAAATGGTCTAGAGTCTCACAATGCCTATTAGAGCAGCAAACACAAGCAGTAGCAATAGGGATGCCACATGCTTGGATGTTAGCTTCAACAGGAACAGCATTTTGGATAAGCTTCTAACCAAATACAGAGATCTTCTTGGGTAGCCACTGATTCCAAAGTTTTCGCTAGGAATGAAAGGGCTCCTCGTGACTTCTAATCAAATCTAGATATGCCCGAGTTGTGAATTTGCCAGAGGATGCCTTTGTAAAGACAAGCTTGTCTTCCGTAGAATCTGATAGGACTATTTTCTGAAGTTCTACTTGTAGATCAAAAGGTAACAAGTCCAAGAAGTTTGGATCACCCATTGCATCTCTTATAGCTACAGATGAAGAATTACCCTTAAGAAGATCAACATCTGTCCAATGATCTAACCAAAAATCAATAAATCCTTTACCAACCACCCATTTGGAATTCTGAATAATGGTCTCTATATGTGGCCGAATAGAATTCCATATATGAGAGCCTTGTCTACTTCCCATTGTCAAGACATTATGAGGATGGCCATATTTCGATCTTAATAATCTAGCAAACATTGACCAACCTTCAACAAACGCCCAAGCAAGTTTTGCAAGCATAGCATATTGAACTTCTAGAAGATTTTTAACTGCCAAACCCCCTCAGAGTAAGGAAGGGAAATTCGAGACCAGCCTACCCAATGACGCCGACGCTAATCGTTTTGATCCCATAAAAAGATAAAATTACACTTATAGTTTTACTGAAAGATCGAGTTACAGTTACTATTCTTCCTAGCACACAAAATGACCATAACTAAATAATAAAAATTAACACAATAAATAAATAAATTTATCATAAATTAAGATGGACAAAAGAATTGAAATTTTTTACCTTGACCGTCAAAGAATTTGAGATCAACATCACATTATCATATTGCATGGTGTAAGGATAATAGAACCAACACCATAGCTTTATACAAGAATTTTTTAGGTGACTGGTTCAAGACACAATTAGGTTGCTTTCTTGAGTCATATGTGTCATCCGTAAAATTTATTTGATACAAAAGATCAAGAATATATTACATGTCATCTCAAGGATTCAACAAGCTCAACCACCTTATCGTGTCTTAACAAATTTATATTATTTGTAATACTTAAAACTTCAAATATATTAGCACCACTCTTACCCAAAGATAATATAAATAAAATTATATTAGCACCACTCTTACTCAAAATTTTTCAAATGCGTCGTCATATGATGAGTAGCACTTGTGTCCATAATTAATTGAGAATTAGGTGTGACGAGAGGTGGAATAAGCAAGGTGAGAGGAAGACTTTGTTTGACGAGTAGATTGGTGTGAGTTTGGGGATGGACGGACATTTGCAACATGATCATTGCCTTTACAATTATAGCAAACCACACTACTGGAATCGAATTCATGTCACGAGGATAAAAAGGTTATGGGAGTGAACCATGTGTAAAAAAATGCCCATCACGACGTCCTCTTCCATGAGTTGAGGAAAGAGGACCGACGGTTAGCATAATGAATTGAAATTAGAACTTTTATAGGCTGAATAGTGTCATGAGGTTGAAATTCTTCACCGAGAGTAGGACCATATAGAGTCTCATAAGACACAACCTCATGGCAAGATCTAATAGCCCATACAAAGGGCCAATAGGTAGGACAAAAACCATTGAGTAAGGTTTGAACAGGGTCATTCGTGGGAATGGGGGAGCTAAGAGAATGTAGGACATTAAAGATGGCTTTCCCACACCGAAAGTACTGCTGAACAAATTCATTTGTTCCTTATACAAAGCGATAGAGGCTACTTTTTAAGTGATTAATCTAGGTTCTAGTTCCAAAATCATATACATTTGTCAAATTTAATCAAGCCTTTTAAGCTATAGAGGTCCCAAACAACAAGAGGTAAAACAACCTCCGTTAAAGAACCAACAATCCGGTGAGAACGAGTTGATCATGACATTCTCGGTTTACAAAAGACAGGTTGGATTCATTATTGTCAAGCTTAGGATTCGGTGGAGGATGAGATCCATCAACATGATGGAGAAGACCATGACGAGCATAAAAGAGGATGAAGTTGTGTTTGCCATAGGATGAAGTTAGTCAAAATAAGTTTGAAAATGGATGGGTTATGGAATTAGGAAGAGATGATGGAATGACGAGTTAATGAGGAGGGAGTAGTCGGTAGAAGGTTATGATATGGTGGGGTAATAAGGGCTGCCATGGTGAGTTTGAAAAAAAAAATATCGTGGACTCGTTAAGTCTCTAAGGGTTCGATTGTTAGAGATAACTACGGGAAGTATAAGATAACTACAAGAAGTATAAGATAAGATACGGAAAGTATAATATAACTATAACGATAATAATTTTCTATTAGTTATAGGATCACTTAAAATTTTGATCCGATAAAATAAATCTTTTAGAATAAAAAAATAGACAATCTTGGAGTCGGAAAAAAATGTTCTTTTACCTAAAAATAGTAATCATCTTTAAAATAAAAGAGAGAGAGAGAGAGAGATTGTGGAGTTATTCTTTGCTTTCTCTGTTTCTGTTTGATAGAAGAATCATTATCTACTCATTTATTGCTGTGAGTTGCCTTGAAATTATGACATTAGTAAATTATCCTTTGTAGCTTTACAACATCTGACTCACGCAGGGCCTTAGGATTTTACTTTTTCCGAAAATTATGACAATAACGATACTTTTGTTTGTAATACCTCAACCTGCTAGATTCTCTGAACAAAAAATCTTGGGCATAAACAAAGTTAATCAGTTCAAGTTCTTGCTTTCATTTTCACCAAAAGAGGAGGAGGAGGAGGAGGAAGGGGAGGAGTAGAAGAAGAAGAAGAAAATAGTATCTGAACAATAAAAAAGAAACATGCACTAATAATTTTAACAATTGGACAAGACAAACAATTGGAGTTATGTGTTTCATGCCAAGTAATATCTGGCTCATCCCATTTACAATTTGTTTGGAGCTTTATATAATTTTATTAGTATTTGAAAAATGTTAAACGTGAACATGACTGTTTTATCTGAATTTTATACATGAGTTAATCAGTAAAATTTATTAATAATAGTATAAATATTAAACATGAACGTGATTGTTTTATCTAGACCTTGCATCACTCACATGGATTAATCAATAAGATACATTAATCGTTTAATGCATAACGTATACTAGAAGATTCCAAAAAATTAAGACCCGCCATCAATTGGCTAGGGTTTTCAAAAACTTATATGGTATTTTAGGTCAAATTGCGTTCTCCTTTGAAATTTGGACTCAGTAAGATTCTCCTTAGTCCAAACAAATTATCAATTTTGATTTTCCATCTTTATATTAAGAATATTATTTAATATGTCATGTATTCATTTTTTATGTATACTTTTCAAAAATACTTCTTTTTAATGGTAGATTTTTTATTAATGGAATTTAATTAGAGGTATTGTATTAAAATGCATGAGTTAAATGTTTGACCAAATAATTATTTTGGAATAAATAAAAATAAAAAGCAGGATCTACCAAAAAAAAAAAAAAATCACTTGGTCTAATGCTTAGGTATCTATCTTCTCTTATTGGACATGACATTTAAAATTAGGTTGTGAGAAGAAGGTTAATTCTCCTAAATAACCCATAAAATTAATAAGAAATTGGATCATGACATAAAAGTTAATTTGAAACACAAAATAAAATTAGTATGACAGGTATACTCTCTTCTTTGATTTTTTAGATTCAAATATTAGGATCAACACTTAGAAACTTACTAAATTCTTATCAATATTAGAAATACCTTCTTTAATTTTATTTTTTTAAATAACTTAGTTTTTATTTACAAACAAACTGATATGAAAATACATGTTATTATTAAAAAAAAAAAAAAGGAATCAAATAAAAAATATGTGTGACGTGTGATGTGTTAGTTTAATTAGACAAATAAATTAATTGAAAGGAAGGATCCAGAGTGAATCTGATTAATCAAATAATTAATTATGTTGACCAGCCCATTAAACAGGGAGATGATTAGAGATCATTTTCGTGGAGGCGTCTATAAATAGGTAGAGGCAACATGCAATTATTTCATTAAACACAATAACTCAAATATATGCAAGAAAGAGAGATCGAGAGCTAGAAGAGGGAGAGAAATGGAAGTTGTTCAAGTGCTTCACATGAATGGGGGAATGGGAGATACAAGTTATGCCCAGAACTCATTGCTTCAGGTAATTAATTATATATTTAGCTAGATTATGCTCAAAAGCAACACAATATTATATCGTCTAACGTTGTTTGAAAGTGCATTAGAATGCATATATATATGTATAAGGAAGAGACTGCCTATCTATAACTTCTTAGAGAAAGCTAGTAAATATGATATTATAAATGTACGCAGAGAGAAACCAGTGCCAATATGCTTTACTATCTTAATAATTAGCTAAGATTTTGGAGCATGATTTTTTCAACCAATTTCTTGAAAAATCCTCTAACAAAAAAACTATGGAAAGACTAGTTAAGCACGGAAAGACTAGTTAGGGTTACAAAATTTGGGGGTCATAATTCAAGAAGCATCTTCTAACAAAAAAAACTAATACAGCTTATAAGAATGACTGAAAAAAAAATCTTAACTTAAGCATTATTAAGGGATTATCTCGCCCAAAAACAAGCTTAACTACAAGGTGAGAGGCTCCAGGGATATGATTTATATTATTCTTTAAAACACGCCTCAAGTGAAAGTCCTTTGGACTTGAAACTTGCACAAACTCACATTACTTTATGCTCAATCAATTAAAAGAGAAAGTGAGAGTGGTAGCATTCGAGCTCGCGACCGTTTGGTCATCAAGGTTCTAATACGATGTCAAGAGGTTATTTCATTCAAAAGTTTAAACTGTGAGGTGAAATATAATGATATAATTTATATTATTCTCTAACTGACATGAGATGCAAGCCAATTTACAACACGATTGATCTTTTTCCAAGTATAAGAACTATGTACTTACCACGGATTCTGAAAGAGCTCACAAATGATGTAAACCGGCTGTCTATAATCGTCTTGATTATCACCTTGAGAAGACAATAACATGCATGAATAGAATTAGTTGAATTCGATGAGCAAAAAACAATTTTGTTTAACAGATTACTGCTTTGTATTTCTGGACATGCAGCAAAAGGTGATATCCATGACAAAGCCAATTACAGACGAAGCAATAACCAATCTCTACTGCGACACTTTCCCTACAAGTTTAACCATAGCAGACTTGGGATGTTCTTCAGGACCAAACACTCTAGCTGCAGTATCTGAAATTGTCAAAGTAGTGGACGAGATTCGCAGAAAACTAGGCCATAAATCACCAGAATATCAGTTGCTGTTGAATGATCTTCCAGGCAATGACTTCAATGCCATTTTCAGGTCATTGGCAGGCTTCCAAGAAAAGATGAAAAAACAAATGGGAGATGGGTTTGGGCCATGTTTTTTCGCCGGAGTCCCTGGTTCTTTCTATGGCAGGCTTTTTCATGCCAAAAGTCTGCATTTTGTCTATTCTTCCTACAGTCTCATGTGGCTGTCTCAGGTATGACAACGTTAATTCTCACTGCTACCAGCTGTTATACCATAAAAGTTCCAGCATATATACTTCCTTACTTTTGAATAAGTCCATATAATAAGCACAATAACAATAAAAAAGTCCTAAATGATGTGAAAGAGAGGTTTTAAAGAAAATAAAACAAGATTAAATAGAAGTATGTTTATGGTTTCAGGTATTATTTTTTTTTCTTTGTAATTATAGGTCCCTGAAGGTCTGGATGGTAACAAGGGGAACATTTATATGGCCAGCACAAGCCCACCAAGCGTGCTTAAGGCTTATTACAGGCAGTTTCAAACGGATTTTTCACTGTTTTTGAAGTGTCGTTCTGAAGAGTTGATGGCAGGAGGGCGTATGGTTTTAACATTTTTGGGTAGAAGAAGTGAAGATCGTACCAGCAAGGACTGCTGCTACATTTGGGAGCTTTTAGCTATGGTTCTCAATGAAATGGTCGGAGAGGTATGTAAACAAACGACAAGCAATAATACGCAGAAATCGTTAGACAAACTATCTTATATTTAATAAATAAGTAGTATAAAATTGAGAAAGAATTATCTATTATAAAACAATTGTTGTAGACTTTATAAAGTTGAAAAAAAAATCACAACGTCTAATTATTATTATTTTTAATAGAATTCGGTTTCAACTATCAAATTTATAACAATATGGTAAGGATAATAAAAATATTTGTACTAACTTTTCGAAATAATGGAGAGTACCTTTAAATTTGTATTCATCCTTTTTCTTTAAAAAAAAAATGGCACTACACGTTTCTTTAACTATAACTAGTTGGAAAGTTGCTCAAAGAAACCATAAACGAAATCACATCATCTAGCAACAAATCAAAGTTGAAATATCAAAGTTAAAACCTTCTGATAAGAATTAGTGTGCAATGAAATGGGTATACTCCAGTCAACAGGAAGCCATTACTATATTTTGCTTGTGTCAAATAAAATTTGTCCCAAGTTTGGCGACCCTTTAAGCAGTAGAAGTAGTCACTGTAACCTACATAAAAGGCATAAGCTGAATTCCAACAGCTATTCTTATACTTAATTAACCTACCCCAGATCCTGCAGGTTGAAGAAAAAACAAAGAAACCTCAGATCCTAGAAAACTAGATGCAGCTTGCAAAGGTTGAACAAACAAGCCCCACCAAATTAACTTGAAAATTCTGTCCTTGTTTTATTTTGGAAGATGTATATTTGATTATAGTATGCCTTAATTTATACTATCAAAGAAAAAAAATAAACATTGAAAATGGCTTGCATGTTTAATACCTGAATCAAGCAGTAGAAACAAATAAATAGGTTGTCTGCGTGCTCTAATACTCAACATTATACAATATATATATTAACATACGCGTTTATGCTCTAAAATAAGCTAGAGAAAGTGAACCTAATAAGCAAAAAAAATATCATGCAGGGGTTCATAGAGGAAGAGAAACTTGACTCCTTCAACATTCCTCAATACACACCATCTCCATTTGAAGTGGAATCAGAAGTTGAAAAGGAAGGGTCCTTTGCCATTGATCGATTGGAGGTTTCTCAAGTCAATTGGAATGCCGCTGCTGATGATGATGAAGTTCACAAGTGTGATGCTTTTAAAGATAGTGGATATAATGTTGCAAAGAGCATGAGAGCTGTGGCCGAGCCCTTGCTTGTTAGCCATTTTGGAGAAGCAATTATCGATGAGGTTTTCTCTAGGTATACAGAAATTGTGGCCGATCGCATGTCGAAAGAGAAGACTCAAGTTGTCAATGTGACTGTGTCCATGACAAGAAGGGAATGTTTTTGCTAATATGCTGGTGAAATTAATTTCCGTTTTCCTAGCTATATGTCCACTAGGGCCGATCAATAAGTTAGAACCTTTCTTTTGTAATAAAAAATAAATAAACAAATTATTCATTGTGGAAAATAAAACATAGTATATGGTCTTAAATTGGAATCATCAAGTGTAGGGGCTATAATGTGAAATTATTTAAAGAAGTTAAAGTGAAGTGAAGTTTTTTTTTTAAAAAAAAAAACCGTATTCAAAACAATAGCAATATTTTGGTATAGTTCGTTTATACTTTGTTGGGAAAAGACAATGTGGGTATCGGATTCATCAAATACATGCCTGCAAAATGTAGGTACAAAAATTGAAGAGTTAGTGCAGTTTTTTATGAAGCAATATTCATGCACTTTCTAGGATTCCCGATAAAATCTTTAAACAAGCTTGATTATTCATTACTGCATTATGTACACTCTGGTGAGAGGGTGTAATTTCTGGAATTTGAGTTTGAGTATTTTGAGCTGCTATCCTTGTATTTATACTCTCTAATAGTGAATATTTTGATCTGTCTTAACCTATGGATATAAGCACCTACCGAACTACATTAAATTATTTTGTCATTTTGAGTCATTTATTTGTTTTTCATTAAATTTTCTAGTGCTTGTTCAACTTTAATCGCTCGATCCAGATTGTATAAGTTAAAAATTAATCAATTGAGTGATTTTAGACTAGGTTGGTCAAAATCTTTGTTCTCATTATAAAGTAAGCAAGCACTAAATTCAAAAGAGATGTAAAACCGAGATGAAAGCCGATTAAATTATCAAATGGGTTTGACGGACCTTACATTCATGTAATCAAGTGCAAACAACAAATGAAGATGAACGACATGAGTAACAATAATGAAAGGTAGATGACAAATGGATTATCACTACCGAGTGCTTCTAAAACATGCTCGATTAGACCGGTCGCAAACCGTGTTAGCATTAGAAACCAAGCATTTCAACTCCCCTCCTATCCGGAGTAATAAGGAGATAATCCGAGTTATGATTAAATATTCATTAGCATAATCATTTGACTTTGCTTCTTCTATTCTTGATTCACCCAATATAATATAATTCATGATTTTTCATCTCTAAAAAAAAAACCTTGTTTTCACAAGTATGATCAATTCCTAAAAAATCCTTCTTAGTCTTATACATGATCGTGTTAATTGTTATTATTCATGAAATGTGATATTGCATCGAACCGACATGTGATAATATGATAAGGATCTTACTTAGACTTGATCAATAAGAGGTCTTCCTTTATGAAATGTATTATAAGCATCCTCGTGATGAATAATAGATAGTTGACATAAAAGACCATCTTAACCATTTTAGGATTAGATTTTGATATATGTTATCAAAAGTTTTAACATTTAGGGATGGTACCAAAAGAGGAGCACAACAAAATAATGATCTCCCATTCAATCGGAGGAATGAACACCACTCAAATAACATAAGCAATGGCCTAGGCAACCCTCCCAATAAACACAATAACAAATGACATAATCGAAATGTGATAAATAAATAGATAAGCTCAATCAAAGCAGTTCACCTAGAACTTTGAACCTACTCAAGTGAAAAGACACAGATCCCGAAAAAGGAAAACCTAAACATTTACCAAACAGACTCCTAAAGGTATCGCGTCTAGTTTAGTTTTAAATTCATCTCTTAAAGTATTTTATTTGTGCCAAGTTATTTTCGATTTAACTCTAATTTTTCAAGCTAAATTATTTTTTTATTTTTAGGCATGGCATCATATTGAAATGATCGTCGATCCCCTTCATCGGATAATATATCGTTTCAAATATTAGACCCACTTTAAGCCTCGACACAACCGTCGCGTCGAAAAACATCCCGATTATTAAATGTTGAGAATTTTTTTTTCAATTAAAAACAATCCCTATCAAATAGGAGACTTTGTTAAGAAATTTATTTTTTTCTCTCATTTTTATTTAACGACAATCCGTATCAAATAAGAGACTTCTTTAGGAATTATACTTCTTTTTTCTTTAATAAGGAATCATCATCAATCCCTAAAAAGCAAGATACTCAATAATTCGTCCACCATTTGGTTATCTAAACTAATTATGGAATCAAAATCCTAATTATGGTTAACGTCATTTCAAACATCGGATCTACTTTAAGCCTCGACACAACCGGTGTGTTAGAGAATATCCCGATTATTAAATATTGAGGATAATTTGTTTAAAACCTAACATCGGTCTCTATCAAATAGGAGATTTTGTTAAGAAATTTATTTTTTTCTCATTTTTATTTAACGACAATCCCTATCGGATAGGAGACTTTGTTAAGAATTATACTTCTTTTTTCTTCAATAAGGAATCATCATCGGCCTCAAAAAAGTTGGATACTTGATAATTCATCCACCATTTGATTATCTAAACTAATTATGGAATCAAAATCCTAATTATGGTTATTCAAACATCTTAGCTCTAGAGTAAACCAACTAATTATAGTTATCTAAAATTAATTAATATGCCTTTTTTATATAATTTTATCTTTTGTTGTTGTTTTTTTTTATTGATGGAGAATTGTCTTCGATCTCTAAAAACTAGAAGACTCGATAATTATACATTTATTGATCACCTAATCTAATTATTGAAATAAAAATGCATAATTACATTAATTAAATAAATTAAAGGAAATTCAAACATTCAAATGGCAATTAAACATAAAATAAATTCAAGATTAAATGAAATAAAACTAAGGCTATTTTTTTTTCTCTTTTTCTCTCTTTTTTCGGGCCGGATCGGAATTAGTTTAGCCCAATTTTCTTTTTCTTTCTTTTTTTCTCTTTTTCGGGTAGGAATGGAATCATTCTTGCCCAATCACATATGGGTTGTGCTAAGCCCAATCCTAGCCTTTTCAACTAGACCTAACAACCACTAACACCTTTCACTTGTTTTTTCAAAAATTTAGATCAAACTCTTTCTTTTTCTCCTTTCTCACTTGTTCTTTCCCGATCTTATTCTCCTCTCTTCCCCTCTTTGTCTCATTCTATGAACGAACCGGAGGTCTCCGGTTCGTTCTACTCATTTCTTCTTCTTTCTCCTCCTTTCTCCTTTTCTCTTCTTCTTCTTCTCTTCCCTCTCCTCTTTCTCTCGTCTTTCTTTTTCTTTTCTTATGCTCAATCCATGGCTCTCCTACTTTCTCTCTCAATCCTTTTTTCCCTCTCACTTTATTAATATCTCTCTCTCTTCAAATTAAATCAAAATTGAAAATCAAAAATTTTCTCCAATTTGGTCGAACCATAAACTTTTATTTTTCAATTTTTCCTTTCACATGGCCTTAATTGGCTTGATTTCTCTTGAAATCAAGCCAAGTCACACCTTTTAGGATCCAATTTCTTGAAAACCTCCCAAATTCTAACCTTGTTGAAAAATTCAAAAACCTTAGGTTTTTATCTAGTCTAATTCAAGTTCAATTCGAGGTATAAACCTTAAATTGACAACCCAAACAACTTCAATTAGCTTGAATTTCAGTCCCCAAATCTCAATTTCAATCTAAAACCAAAATTTCCAAATTCGAAACCTTAACGGTCAATAAAACCTAATTTCTCAAAATTCAAATCCAAAAACTCAATTTCCTATCCAATTAAACAAACAAAAACATCCGTGTGAGTATGGAGGGAAAATTCGAGGATGGTAGTGATAAACACCATTGCCATCAACATAAAAAAAAAATGAGGGATATTATATTGAAAAGGAAAATGGTGGATTACCTCAAGGAAGAATTCGGATTGAGGATGAAGAACAACCTCGATGAGTTACTTTTACTCCAACAAAAATTCGATAAAAATCCTTTCCTTTTCTATTTCTCTTCTCTTTTTTTTTTTTTTAGTTTTAGTTTCTTTCTTTGTTTTTTTTTTTTTTATTTCCAGTTACTTTCTTTTTTTTTTTTTTTTGATTTCTTTTAATTTTTTTGAATTGATTTCTCTTTCTTTCTTTTTTTCTTTTTTCTTTTTTTTTTGCTACCATTTTTACTTGTAAATTATCGGTTCCCCACTATTGATAGTGTAGGATTTTCTTTGAAGCTATGGCATAGGGTGGTTGGGCAAGTTATTGTAGGATGGTCGGCAAGAGTATGGCTTGTGTTGAATGGGATGGGATGGATTGATAGGATAGAGCGGTTGTGCGAGATGTAGAGGCGGTTTGGGGGCTACAAGTTGTTATAGGGGGTAGGACTCGTGGAGGCTAAGGGTATGGTTATAGAGGCTGGTTGTGGGCTACTCGGTTGAATTAGGGAAGGGGTTGCAAGTTACAATAGGTTACGGGAGTAGGAGTTGTTGGAGATGTGATTGTGTAGTAGGGAAATTGTTGCTAGATTTGCAAATGAGATGGCAAGAAACCGTAGAAGAAAATTGTACAAGAGATAAAGAGGAACTATCCCTTCATTTCTGTTTTTTCTTTTTTTGGTTTTTTTTTATTTTGTATAAAATTTGAAATAATAAAATAAAAAATTCTTTTTTTCTAATTTCCTTAATTAATTATTATTATTATTATTATTATTAAAGAAACTAAAATAAAAAAAAAGAAATAAGAAATGGATAAAATAAATACAAGAAAAATTAGGGTATGACATTAAGCATGTACCGGTGTTCATATTTTACGACCATCATGATGGTACGTTCACAACTCGAAAGTATCTATGTCCTTCATCATCATCGGTGCAGTCTAAAACCATTGTTGTACATGCTACACCATATGCTTCAAAATTCATAAAAAGAAAAGTAAAAATCAACAAAATTCTCGATTTTTGCCTTACAATTAATGGATCATTGAAAATTAATTAGAACATGGTTTTCCTTCTTTATGGTGGCAAAACTCTCTTAACTTTTCTCTCTCACACGTGCACAAGTTTACCGAATGCTTTTGAATTATACCAAATTAATACCATTAACGTATGTATTAAATTTTGATAGTTGAATGTGATGTCTATTTAAAAAAATTAAAAGTTATATGCATTAAATATTTTTGGGATAAATTCTTTAACACATTGACAAAGTGGACCTTGCTCGTTAGAGTACATATCCCACATTGAATAGTTAAACCAAAGATGATTAACTTATGATTAACATATAAGATGATTAACATAAATTCTTTTGGATGGAACTCAATCTCAACTATGTAACTTTATATTAGAGCCTCATAAACGCTCAATGGCTTAGCAAAGATCCCGGAGCCTAAGCCACTTAACGGACCCAAAAAGATAGGTTGCAAGTGAAGGGAGTGTTAGAGCACATATACTAGTCTCTAACACACCCTTCAAGTGAAAGCCCTAATATTTGGGCTTGAAACTTGCACAAGTCCACATTGCCTTATGTTTGATACTTGAGAAATTGGAGATGGTGAGACTTAAACTTATGACTACATGGTCAACCAAGCTTTGATACCATATTAAGTGACCATCTCACCTAAAAGCTTAAGTTAACAAATGAGGACGTGAGGTCTCTAACACTCGCCTATAGAAGATTCCAAAAATTAAGACTCGCCATCAATTGGCTAGGGTTTTCAAAAATGCTTTTCAATATATCATGTAATCTTTTTTATGTATACTTTTCAAAAATACTTATTTTTAATGGTAGGTTTTTTATTAATGGGATTTAATTAATTAGAGGTTTTGCGTTAAAATACATGAATTAAATGTTTGGCCAAAAATTATTTTGGAATAAATAAAAATAAAAAGCGAGGATAAAAAAATCGGTTAGCTTTAGGATTATAGAATCGGATGTTGAGATTGATTTTCATCCAAAAGCCTTAAGTCTCATAGCGAGTGGTCTATTTTCAACCTTATATATTAATCATTTTTAATTTAACTATTTGATGTGGAATATATGCTCTAATAAGGAAAAGGTTCTCCTAAATTTCTTAGTTTAGAATTCACTGTTTACTTTTGAAGAAATTAAACCTATGAGTAACCAAATACTTATAATTCAATTATTCAATTAATCATAAAATTAATAAGAAATTGATCATTACATCATAATAGTTAATTTGGAAAACAAAATAAAATTAGTCCGGCAGGTATGCTATCTTTTCTGATTTTTTGGATTCGAGCAATAGAATCAGCACTCAAAAACTTATTAAATTCTTATCAATGTTAGCAATGCAATCTTAAAATTTTCTGAAAAACTAACTTAGTTTGGATTGACATGCAAATTAATTATGCCGACCAACCCATTAAGCAGGGAGATGATTAGATCATTTTCGTGGAGGCGTCTATAAATAGGTAGAGGCAACATGCAATTATTTTATTAAACACATTAACTCACATATATATATATATATATATATTCTTAGAGAAAACAAGAAAATATGATATTATAAATGTAAACCAGTGCCAATATGCTTTACTATCTTAATAATTAGCTAAGATTTTTCAACATAATTTTTTCAACCAATTTATTGAAAAATCCTTTATTTGAAGGGAAAACAGTTAAGCACGGATAAATAGCTCATTAATAACTACAAGTTTTTTCTTTTCTTTTTTTTTTTTTTTTGAATGAGGCCAAGTTTTGAAAGACTAGTTAAGATTATAAAGTTTGGGACTCACAATTCAAGAAACATCTTCTAATAAAAAAGCTAATACAGCTTATAAGAATGACTTAAAAATAAAAAAATCTTAACGAAAGAGAGTAGACAAGAGATGCAAGGCAATTGAATTTACAGTAGGACTGATCTTTTTACAAGTATAAGAATTATCTACTTACCACGGCTTTTGAAAGAGTTCATTAATGATATAGACCGGCTGCCTATAATCGTCTTGATTATCACCTTGAGAAGACAATAACATGCATGAATAGAAGTATTTGAATTCGATGAGCAAAAAAAAATTTTTTTAACAGATTACTACTTTGTATTTTTGGACATGCGGCAAAAGGTGATATCCATGACCAAGCCAATTACAGAAGAAGCAATAACCAATCTCTACTGCGACACTTTCCCTACAAGTTTAACTATAGCAGACTTGGGATGTTCTTCAGGACCAAACACTCTAGTTGCAGTATCTGAAATTGTCAAAGTAGTGGACGAGATTCGCAGAAAACTAGGCCACAAATCACCAGAATATCAGTTGCTGTTGAATGATCTTCCAGGCAATGACTTCAATGCCATTTTCAGGTCATTGGCAGGCTTCCAAGAAAGGATGAAAAAACAAATGGGAGATGGGTTTGGGCCATGTTTTTTCGCCGGAGTCCCTGGTTCTTTCTATGGCAGGCTTTTCCATGCCAAGAGTCTGCATTTTGTCCATTCTTCCTACAGTCTCAAGTGGCTGTCTCAGGTATGACAACGCTGTTATACCATAAAATTTCCAGCATATATTCTTCCTTACATTTGAATAAGTCCACAATAAGCACAATAACAATAAACAAGTCCTAAATGATGTGAAAGAGAGGTTTTTAAAGAAAATAAGAAAAGATCATATAAAATTATGTTTTTGCAGTGGCGGACTCACATTGATTGCTAAGGGGCCTGGGCTCCCCTCTAATTTTTTACATTGCTTCCAAATAGAACATAAGTAACAGTCTTGAAACGTAAATTGGTCAAAATGATATAGCATCTTCAATACAATAATGCTAAAATATAAATAGAGATTGTTTCAAGATATGTCCCGTCATAAGAGAATGATAAATAAAATAATAGAGTTAAATATTAGTTTTGCAAAGAGGAGCCTAATTATTGGTGTTAATTTTAAGCTCTTCAACAAAAATAAAGTAAATTAGCTTAAGTGACCACATACAATATAGCAATATGAAAATCTTAGAATATCTCTAGGATAATAGAATCGTCTTTCAACGTGCTTGAATAATAATTATGGAAAAGAATTTTGTTGTAGACAAAAATCATAATGTATATATGAAGACAAAAAAAAAAAAAAATTAAAAGTTAATTAACTTATGCAAAAGGTGATAACATTTATTTTTACTCTCTTTCAGCTTTCTATGATTACCACAGAGGAGGCATTTTCAACTATGAGCATAGTCAAAATTAAACTTCGTAACAAGTTGAAAAATTACTTTCTTTTCGATTGTTTGTTAGTGTATATTGAAAAAGAAATTGTTAAAAATTTTAGTATAGATTTGCTTATAAATTATTTTCGTGACTTGAAAAAACGAATATCTTTATTGAGTAATTATATTTTGATATTATATTAAAATATATATTGGTATGTTATTTATAATATATATAAGTTTGGGTAAACTATGACAAATTTATAAATATTTATTTTGATTTTCGTGAATATTTGGTCCTTCATATGTCATTGTGTTTATGGTTTCAGGTATTAATTTTCTTCTTTGTAATTATAGGTCCCTATAGGGCTGGATGGTAACAAGTGGAACATTTATATGGCCAGCACAAGCCCACCAAGCGTGCTTAAGGCTTACTACATGCAGTTTCAAACGGATTTTTCACTTTTTTTGAAGTGTCGTTCTGAAGAGTTGGTGGCAGGAGGGCGTATGGTTTTAACTTTTTCGGGTAAAAGAAGCGAAGATCGCTCCAGCAAGGATTGCTGCTCCATTTGGGAGCTTTTAGCTGTGGCTCTCAATGAAAAGGTCGGAGGGTATGTAAACAAACGACAAACTATCGTATATTTAATAAATAATACTTATAAAGTTAAGAAAGAATTATCTATTATAAGATTTAAACTTTTTGAATAAAATTCTATCTCAACTTAATATGTTATCGATAATAAGAAAAAATATTTATACTAACTTTTTGAAACAGTGGAGACCTTTAAAATTGTATTCATCTTTTTTCTTTGAAAAAAAAATTGAGGCATTATACATTTCTTTAACTATAACTAGTTGGCTAGTCGCTCAGAAAAACCATAAACAAAATCACAATTACCTAACAATAAATCAAAGTTGCAATATCAAAAGTAAAAACCTTGTGATAAGAATTTTTGTGCAATAAAATGGGTATAAATACTCTTGGTCAACAGGAAGCCATTACTACATTTTCCTTGTTTCAAATAAAATTTGTCCCAATTTTAGCGAATCTTTAAGTTCTAAAATATTAAAAAATAATATAGATCTCATCGAAAAATTGCAAATTCAAAAGATTTTTAAGCAAAAAAAAATATTAAAGAATAATATAAAACTATTTATATTTTATACATCGGATCATGCATGTTAAAGATAAACAAAGAAACATCAAATCCTAAAAAACTAAATGTAGCCTGCAAAGGTTAACCTAACAAACTACAAACCCACCAAACTAACATGAAAATTCATGTCCTTTCTTTATTTTGGAGAATATATATTTGATTATAGTATGCCTTAATTTATACTATCACGGAAAAAATAAATCAATTTATCAAAGTGTGATCTCGAACTTGGTTATTAGTCCGTTCAATTATAATCACATAAGTTTTTTTTAATTCTCAAATATCTTAACTCTTAGAGTAAACCAACTATGCTTTATTGGTGTACTCCTACCGTGATCACGAGATTCCTTGAGTAGACATTTATCGAAATGTCATAAATTCTTTAGCATACAAGGAATGACATGTCCTATCTTAGTCATCCACCTATCTCCATTAGATTTTTAGTGCACCCAACAAATCGCCTACGTGCAACCCTTTACTAGGTTCATCGAAACGAGTGTCAAAGTATATAAATCCTCTTATAAGATAATCATGATGACTTCAAGTTAAATGACTAGTTGTACCCATCTCATATTAGATTTCCATAGACTAAAATGACGAGTCAAGTCCGAGTGATATGTTCTCTAACATTAATCACCTAAATGTTTACTTTGGCATCATCATGTTAATAAGTGTGAGATCTCCTACTACTATCTTATAACATGAGCATAGCACTCATAAGTTTTATCACATATAATGAATGTATATTCTTGACAATGCTACAACTTGAGACATTTAATGATATTATTTAAGTGCATTAATATTTATCTCACATCTTTCGATCAATCATTAATGCAATGCATACCATATGAACTTTTATCTAATTCTATTCGATAAACATAAACAATAAAAATTAATAGAAAGACTTCTTTTATTAATAAAATAAATAATATAATATTACAATAAGTCAAACCTATCCAAATAAGGTTAGATCTAGAGCACCTATACTAACGAGAGGCTACCGGCCCATCACGATCTCAAATGAACTTTTACCAATAGACTCACCGTTTCGTAAGTCATAGGAGAATTGAGTGACATCTAGTAAGTTAGCCCAATCTCACTAGTTTGCACTCACAAAGTGCCTTAAATACATCTCTAGAAATGTATTTACTCACTATGTCCGCCCATTTATCCGTGAGTGGAAGCTTGTGGAGTAGCGTAGCTTTAAGCTCAACAACTCAAATAATTCAGTCCACGACTTCCTAGTGAATCAAGGATCTCAATCACCGATTATATATCGTAGCATGTCTCAATATTTCACATGTTTGAAAAGTAGCTTAGTAATGTTCCGAGCTATCACATCTATTAGAGTTGGTATGAAAGTGGCATACTTAGAGAACTTGTCTATGACTACGATAATGCTCCCAATGTTCTTCGATTTTGAAAAACCCATTATATAGTCCATGGCGATTGTCTCTCATGGTCTCTTTACGATAGGAAAAGGTGCGATAGACTCCTAAGCACTCGGTTTTCAACCTTATCTTACTAGCACACTAGGCATATTCTTAAATAGGACTCTATATTGTTACGTAACTATAGCTAAAAATATGATCCCTCTATAAAGGCCTAGTACAATGTTGTCCTAAATGTCTAGACCACATCGATTCATGATGTTGTCCTAAATGTCTAGACCACGTCGATTCATGATGTTGTCCTAAATTTCTAGCCCACATCGAGTCATGACATTCTTTCATCAAATCTTATCAAACGTTTCTCCACTTAAGCATATAAATTCTCCTCCCTTCGTGTAGCAAATGTCATCCTCCTCTCAAAATTTTTGAGTTTTTCCCCTTTGACACGACTCCGATCCTTGCTCAAGCTCACTACCTTGAAGTATTACTCCACTTTCCAAAAAAGCTATCGATTTCATCGGCATCCCCTTGCCAACATAGTGCCTTAGTCTTGACACTTTAACTTTTGATGTGTCCTTCAAGACCACACCATTAGAGATGGCTTCTCGACAAATTACCCAATCTCTTTTAAGTTTTTTAAAAGTTTGCTCATACCTAGTCATAGACTCTCGATGTTGCTTGAATATTTTCTTCATTCATTCCATGAAGGCATCATTTTTTGCAACACTTTTTTTGACACACCTCTCAACCGACTCCACTAAAGCTTAGAGATCGGAGAGCACTTCATGTAGATTTGTCATGCCTAGTGTCTCTTCCTCATCATCTCCTTCTATCTCCTCAAGTCTCTCCTTGAAATTGATAAGGTGTTTCTCTCGTCCTTAAAAGTCGCTCCTCTAAGGTAACCAACATATCACGAGACTTGCCTCTTCCTTTTTTAGGTTTAAAAGGTAGAGTCTCCTTCTTAGTATCTCCAATAATATCCTCAACACCGCAGCTAGATATACTTGATCTTTTTAACACTTAACTAGCCGTAAGCTTAACCACACTTGATATAACTTGCTTTGATGACACTTGTCATGGACTTGGCCTTTCTTAAGCTCTAATGTGGCATTTGGCTCACTTCTTCTCTAAGTCAAACCAAGTCGGTCTTCTCTCACACAAAGTTATTAAGTAAGAAAGATACATACAAAAGATATAAAACTCTTTGTATTGTGTTACTCTTTAAAGCTTACAACTCTCTTAGAATACAATTCTTGTATTTCTCTTCTAGAATGGATTCATGGATGTTTTAGCCAAATGAGGGTCTTACCTATTTATAGTCCTCCGCTTCCTCAACGAATGGTTAGGATCTATTTGATCTAATGACAACAATCGATTCTCTAGAATTATCCTATGTAGATATTTATAAAGAACTATCTAGATTACAAGATAGAATGATGAGGGACTCTTCAAAATTCTCTAAGACATGTATGGATTTCTCTTGGACACTCTAAAAGCTTCTCCATTGCTCCGTAATCTTCTAAAGGCTTCCGGACTTATTTAGTGCTCTTAATTGGCCTTTATAAAAAATTTTCTTTCATGCGAGGTGTAACAATAAGCTTCTAATAACGAGGCGCTTAGAATAATAATGAGTTTTAATGGCATTATAGCTTTCCATCTTAGGGAGAATATTCAATGCGGATCACATGTGATAATAAAGTTGTTGAGATATCTAGATGTGAACTCGTGGAAAAATATCTCACATTGGTTTAGGATTATAAAAGTGAGTGATTTACATAAAATGAGGGATTCAACCATGTAGTAGGGAATTTTGGGTTGGAGATGGTTTCCAATTCATGTATGTAAACATTTTTTTTTCTTCTTACTTGAAAAATATGTAGCATTTTTCTTGTAATCTAGTGACACTAGATACCCTTATAATATCGACGTTTTTTTTTGTTCAACAATAAAAATGTATTTGAATAAGTTTTTGCATACCTAAAAAAATATAGTATGGACTTTTAATAAGACACCCATAAGATTTCAATTAGAAAATTGAGTGCACCAGTTTTGATTTGGTAGGTAGTAGGAGTCACTACATCCATAGTCAAATCAATTTTTCATTGATTTTGAAAAGAGCAAGAGGGATACATATTAGACTGCAATTTGTTCCAATTTCAGAAGGAAAAATGATTAAAAATTCTAGAAAACAAATAAAAAACTCAAAAAATATTTAAAACTATTGTTAATTTTTTATTTATTTATGTTGACTTTTTTTCTAGCTAATTTTTTTATTTTATTTAAAAAATCTAAAGAAAAAATTAAGAAAGAAATAATTTATGTAAAAAATAGAACATGAGTAACATAAAATCAATTGTTTTGTGAAAAAATAAATTGAAATATCATGCCTATTTAGCATTACTCATTTACCACAATTGTGTTTCATCAATAGATCCATGACTTTATCTTTTCTTGAATGTTATTAGACCATCTTTTGATTTACAAAACCCAAATAATCACCGTAATAATCCAATTGACTTGTGATAATGAAAAATAAGAAAACAAAATACCAAAAAAAAAAGTAAAATTTTTATTTTCTTTTGACTTCCTAAAAATAAAATATTTTTTTTGAATATTTTATTTTTTATCTTCTTTTTTTCTGAAATTGAAACCATTAAAAAATTGACGTCAATAATTTTGAGATTCAATTATAAAATTACCCCTCTTAAATTTAACCTCTCTCTAAAAGTGAAACAAACGTAATTGATACAAGGGTAATTTTCAACCTCTGTTGCCCTTTTACGAAGCCTATCCTAATTGGGGGATTTTTCAACGTCGATAATTTTGAGATTGAATTATAACATTATTGGTATGCGTACGAAACCTGTCGCTCTTTTTCAAACATGTGGATAGGGACACAACATGGAACTCTTAGACTGAAAACAATATTTTTTGGATGTATATGATCAAAATTTGTGAAGGGTCCAAAAAAAAAAAAAAAGTACAGTAAAAGCCACGGCAATAAGGATTAAAGAAGTCTAAACTAGACAAGATACCACGCTTCATCAACAGAAAATTAAGCTGTCTGAAAGCAATATTACCCTTGCTATCCTAGGCACACGTATTCGATCGCGGATTCTTAGGACACTTTCTTTCCAATAATATTTTTTTATGTTATTCTAGGAATGAGCACGAAGAAATTGTGTGTTTGATTCTAAATATTAAAAAAAAAAATTAAGCTAGTTTTTAAAATTGAGAAGG